TATTGTATTACTTTCAAACAAGAAAGTTTTTGAAAGTAATCTTTCATAATCTTTTGGATTTCTTGGATGTTTGTTGTAATGTTTCCTGTGGTATCTTGAAATTTGTTGATTTGAATCTAGTCTTTTGTCAGTGTAGCTAGAATCAGATTTTTGTTTCATCGATTTTATGTATAGTTTTTAGTCTCTATTTTTATTAATTTCTGTCCAAATCTTTGCAATCTTTCTCCATTTTATAGTTTGGGATTTGGTTTGTTCTTGTTATTCTTGAAGTATTAGTTGCATCATGAGATCATTGAGCTCTGTTTCTGTTTTCTTTTTTTGTTTGTTTTTTGTCGGTCGTGGGCCTTGAACTCTGGTCTGGGCCTGAGCACTGTCCCTCAGCTCTTCAGTTCAAGGTGAGCACTCTACTACTTGAGCTACACTGCCGCTTCCTGTTTCTGTTTTCTTTATGTGTGCACTTAGAGTTATGAACTTCCCTCTCAGCACAACTTTTGCTGTATCCCAGAGGTTCCAATGTGATATGTTTTCATCTTCATTGAATTGAAAGAACTTTCTAATTTCTGCCTTTACTTCTTCAGTGACCCTTTTGTTATTCAGTAGTCTTTTATTCAACTTCCAAGTGTTTGACTATTATCTGCAGTGTCAAATTAAAATTGGGTCCAGTGGATACTAGACCTTGAAGTTCTCTAAGTTGAGGGTGAGGCTGTATCCTGGTGATTTTACACAGGAAGTGGAAGGGGTGGAAGAAAGGGCTGTGACCTCTGTGTTCTCTACAAGTATGGCATCTTTCTCTAGTGAGAAGGAGGGGACTGAGCCAAACTCTATGGGTCACCACTAGTCTGGTCTCCCATGGGAGGCTTTTCTAGCAGGGTGCTCACTGTTCCTGGCATGGGTTGTGAGATGACCAACAGCACTGAGGTGAACATTTTCTGCATATGGTGTTCTTACATTTCTGTTCTGCAATTCTAGATCATCTGGTATGTCACTTTCTGACTTGGTTAAGGTCACAACATAGCCCTGTTGCCATCATCACATCATATCCCTCTGTGAGCACAGAATGTACTAAGTAGGGGGAATTCACATCTCAGTTTTCTGTGCATGTGTGTTAGGAATAACACACATAATTTTTATTGTTCTTGTAACTCTCTATCTGGTTATGTTTTCCTTATCATTTTCTTGAGTTAATTCTCTCTTGTTACACTGTCACCTTTCTCTAAACTCAAGAATGAGACAAAGATGTCCACTATCTCCACTTCTCTTCAATTTAGTAATAGAATGCCTAGCTACAGCAATAAGACAAGATGCAGACATAAAGGGGATCCAAATAGGGAAAGATAGAGTAAAAGTCTCCCTCTTTGCAGATGACATGATCTTGTAAAGACTCCCACAGACTCCACTCCCAAATTACTTGAGCTGATTCAAAACTTTGGCAAAGTAGCAGGGTATAAAATTAACCCTGTGAGATCTTATCTCAGTTAACTACCAGAAAACTGGAAGTGGATCTGTGGCTCAAAGTGGTAGTGTGCTAGCATTGAGCAAAAGAGCTCAGAGACAGCAACCAGGGACTTAGGTTAAGCTCTCCATGACCACTCACCCCTCCCCACTCCACCTAACAAAGGCTATCTATATATTTAAAATTAAATACAGTGAATAATTGCACAAAAGTTTTGTAGAAGTGCTGGGAAGGTAGCTCAGTGGTAGAGTGCTTGCCTTGCGTGCATGAGGCCCTGGGTTCGATTCCTCAGCACCACATTAGCAGAAAAAGCTGGAAATGGGGCTGATGCTCAAGTGGTAGAGCGCTAGCCTTCAGCTGAAGAGCTGAGGGACAGTGCCCACGCCCTGAGTTCAGGCCCCACAACCGACCAAAAAAAAAAAGTTCTGTAGACTATGCATAGTTACAAATCAAAATAAATCTTTAAAACCAATACTTGAAAAGTAAATGATGCTAACATGTTCATGGAGTAGAGAAACAAATTTCATAATGATGTCAACTTCCCAAATCAATCAACATGTTCACTGAAAATGATGCTAATATATCAGAGTATAAGTTTTGTGTAACTTCATAATAGATCTAGAAAATAATATGTGTTCCAAAATCTATGAGGAAAACAAGGAACCAAAAACAATCAGGATACTGCAGAAAGAAGTCAGGGAGGACATTATTCACAGAAGTATCATGAACTATTTTAAGGAAGTATAAGGCAAAGAATAGAAGTGAAAGTTGATTGAAAACAAAATTTAACAATGGCAAGGGATGGCAGACAACTAAGAGAAGAAGGATCCTTCAATACATAATGACTGAACAGCTCTTCATCTTGGTACAAAGGGAAAAATTGAGATGGAGGAATTGAAGGAAGAAGAAAGACAAGTAGAAAAGAAGTAAAAACAAAAAAAATTATACTATCTTTTAAAATAAAATTAAACTTGCAGTACACTTAATATTTCAAAGTAGAACCAAATTATAGTTACATTGTAAACAATCAGGAATGAAATCTTCAGAAAGAAAACTTTATGAAGAAAATGGTAAAGTTATATACTCTAGTTAAATTAAAAACACACAAGAATACATCTCATAAAACAAGAGAATAATAAATATTTCATAAACACTGATGCATAAATCTAAGTGACTGCTTTATTATAACCAAAGAATTTTGTTTCCTTAGTGTACAAAATGTCATTACAATACACAAACAAACCTAATAGGAGAAAATTGGGAAAAAGATATCTGAAATTAACATAAAATTTGCAATTGTTGACAACAAATTGATCATGTTCTTAACCTTAGCAATATTTAAAGACACATAAAAGAAGAAGAACATAAATTTCAGATCAATTAGCTGAAAATGAAAAAATGTACTTTTGAGGCATAGGTTATGGCTGAAATGATAGACAGCTTGCCTGTGGAGAACTCAGCCTTTTTAGGATCAAAACCCAGTACCACCAAACTAGCAAACAAATAAGAAACCATTTCTTTGAAGGTTTATGGAATTATATTGCGGTGGTAGATGCATAATTTTGTAAATGTGTGGACACTTTGAACTAAATGTTTAAAATGTACATATTGTATAGTAAATAAATTTGACCTAAATAACAACTGTTAGCATAAAAGACAGAAAATAATATTTAGCAGTTTCTTCAGTTATTAGAAAAAGATACATTTCCATTAAAATGTTTATTGGTGGTTAGTATCTTGACAGAATATTGACTAAAGTTAATAGTTTTAGGAGTAAATGAGAAGCCAACTGTTGTAACTTATACTTTTGCTTCACTTGAATTTTTAGCCATTTGTATTCATTATATTTTTTACATTAAAATGTAATTATACTAATGGTAAATGGCTTTTGTACATCAAATAAAAAACAAGAGAACACATAAGAATAAGAATCAAATAGACTACTATCTTATAACAAAAAGAAAACACTAAAAATGATAGAGAAAAGCAATTGTCATATAGATTATAATGATTAAATTTAGTTTTTAGTATTAATAACTACCAGACTCCCATACTTTTTCAATTGTTAAATGTCATTTACCATATGTCCTCCTTTTATGTTATCTTCTTGAACTATGCAAGCCCTTCTAGTCTCACTGATTGTCACAATAAAGAAATTTTAGTTTACTTATTTTAGCAAAGATAAAGAGGTAGAATACTTTTATTTCTTAAATCTGTTATTCTAGCTTAACTTTAGCTCTTAATAAAGCTGCACATTAAAAACACTGACAAAACAAATTTCTAACTTGGCTGTTGCTTAACTTTTTTCACATGTTGCCTTTTACTGGCCTGATACTACAACAACAAAGGTGTTGGTCTGTAGCCGAAGTAACACAGATATATACAAGACATTATACATTCAGAAAAACAAACTTGCCAATAATATTGCTAAGAACAGTTGTTGTTTTGCCAGTCCTGGGGCTTGAACTCAAGGCTGCGCTCTACCACTTGAGCCACATTGCCAATTCTGGCATTTTCTGAGTATTTTCTTGGAGATGAGAGTCTCACAGACTTTTCTGAATAAGCTGGCTTTGAACCAAGATCCTCAAACCTCAGACTCCTGAATAGATAAGATTACAAACATGAGCTGCAGGTGCCTTGTGTAAGGGAAAATTTTGAGGTAGGTTTTAAATCAATCTTGAAGAGAAAAATAAAACATTCTAAAGAATAACAGTTTCTAACCCCTAGTGATTGTAATCAGAGAATGTCTTCATCCAGGTAGCCACATATAAAGAAAGCAACTCTTTAATCTTTAGCTCAAGGTTCCAACAAAGAAAAAAATATTTTAAGTGTGACATATATGTTAAAGAGAATACACTTCTTAAATCATTTAAAACATGTCTAACACTGTGGATTTTTAAAGGAGTTCTTTTAACAATAGTTCTATGAAACAATATTTCTGCTGTAATTCAGCATTATGGGCTAAATTGTATTTCTCCCAGATTTACATGTTTAATCTTGACTATTGCAGAGAGGGCATTAGAGTTGAAGAAGGGTAAATTAACTCAAGTGTAGGAACCCAATCCAGCATATCTGGTGGTCCTCTGAATGGGAACAGCCAAGATGCCCCTGTATAAACAAATGTCCATGAAAACTACAGGATAGCTCCGTGCAAAATACAGAAAGAAACCCCAGGAGAAACCAACTCTGAGAATTGCTCAAAATACAATATTTAGGTCACCAAGTATGTGGAATTTAAGTGCAGCAGATCTAGGAACATACAAAGCAACAACAAAATCACATGGTACATTTTAAATATGTTAGAAACAATAGCAAGAAAGAAAAAAGATATTTGTGTCCCTATCTTGGGGTTCATTTCACTTAACATCATCTTATATGGTCATATGTACATAGCTTTTGACCTTTTCTGCTTGTCTTAGACATATACTATTTACTGCAAATAAGGGAAACCATGGGACCTACGTTTCTTTGGGCCTGGCTTACTTCGCTTAATATAATTTTTTCCAAATCTTTCCATTTCCTAACAAATGGGGAGATGTCATCATCACCCTTTCCACAAAGGTCATTCTGTCTGTTAGTCCTCCCAAGGCCATAGGTACATAGGAAAGTGGAGCTGGGAGTTGCCCACAGTATCTCTCTATGGTGTTGCCTATAGAGACCCTGAGTGTAGGCACAAAAGGGATCTCAAGCAACTCAACCAGGAACTCTCCACAGGGAATGACAGTGTCGATCACCATTACATCAGACTTGGTTTCCTGGAGCTTCATCATGAGTGACTTATTGTAGACTGCACTCCTACAGAGCATTTCAAATTTTCCAGTGTTGTTAAGAAAGAGTTCTTGGAATGTGCTTGCTGCTTGCCAGAATGGCAGTGTTGGAATGATATTCACAAGTAGGTCTAAAAAGTCTTCCATTTCCTTCATTTCACTCTCTCTGTCATAAGGCATTTGGATCACCTTGAAATTCAGTGCTGAGGATTTTCAACAATGCACTAAAATATTGTGAGCAGATGAGTGCCTCAAGAATCATCTTTAGGGTTGAGCCAATGGCTCATTTCACAGGGCCACACCAAGACCTTCCCACAGCGTCCACGGCCCACACAGCACAGCTGAAGCAGCAGACTTGTCAAAGCCCACTTTGGATTTAGATTCACGATTCTCTCAGACTGCTCTGTGTAGATAGAGTATGTATGTGAGGGAGGTGGAAGGGGGCGGTTCAAGGGGTCAACGATTAACTTCTAGAGTTATGAAAGAACACAGGTTGAGAAAACTTTGTCCATTTGGATGATGAGATGAAGCACCTGTTTGTCATCTGTACAAGAGATGAAATACACTTAGATATTGGCTAGGAATTGATTCTATTATTCCAATAATTCTATTTTAGATATGCTAAAATGCTATTTTAATATAAATTTCTAAATACAATAAAGGAGCTAATATATATCTAATTAATACTATGAAATTTTGGGGAAACCCAGAAGATCTTTTTTAAAAAACTGGTTATATACTTATCTGTAGCTGCTCCTTACATTATATGAAGAAGACAATTTTTTTTGTCGGTCATGGGTCTTGAACTCTGGTCCTGGGCGCTGTCCCTCAGGTCTTCAGCTCAATTCTGGCTCTCTACCACTTGAGCCACAGCACCACTTCCGGTTTTCTGAGTGAGTTATCGGATATAAGAGTCTCACAGACTTTCTTGCCCAGACTGGCTTTGAATCGCAACCCTCAGATCTCAGCCTCCTGAGTAGCTGGGATTACAGGGGTGAGCCACCAGCACCCAGCTGACAAAATAATTTTTTTATACATTTTATTTTTTTTAATTTATTTTATTTTATTTGTGAACATACTGTACAGAGGGGTTACAATTACATGGGCAGGATAATGCGTACATTTCTTACCAAGCATTGCAGCCTCCTCCTTTGTTTATGACAAAATAATTTTTAAAGAGTTACATTGATTCAGAACCTCAGGAGAAGAACCGCTCTCTTTTCTGTTAATGTTTTCTTTCTGTCTTCTTGAATGGTAGCAGGCTTATCAGTTGATTCCAGAAGCAGATTTGGCTAAAGATAGATACTCAGAAGAACAGCAGAATGCTTTGCATTAAATGTTTATCAATAGAGCAGTCTTAATTCCATATGTGAGGAGGAAGGGTGACATTGAACTTGTCAAAAGGAATATGCCAGTTAAAATAGGAGGCTTTGGAGAGCCTTGATGATACCGTCTGTGCTCAAGTTTACTATGTGATTTCTTGTTTCTTTTGTATGTTTTTTCCTCACTATGGTTTATCCCCTGTTGTCACTGTATTCGATTTTGGTACCCTGGGTATGGTACATATGTTTATCTGAATCAAGGGAAGGAAGGGGAACAGCAAAAGGTGAGAATAAAGGACAGAACCAATGCAACAGCGATATTCACAAGACACTACATTGGAAATGATCTGTACAACTGGGGGCCGGGGGGTGGGTAGCGGGGGAAAGAAAGTGGGAGAGAAATGAGGGAAGGGATAACAAGTACAACAAGAAATGTACTCATTATCTTACGAAACTGTAACCCCTCTGTACATCACCTTGACAATAAAATGAAAATAAAAAAAGGAAGTATGTCGCAGGGAATCAAATGATGGTTTGTGTACAAAAAGCATAGCAATATGAGACCGATTAGTGTGATGTTACTAACATTTGAACAACAAATAGGAAGTAGTGGATGATAATGATTATAGACACGAAAGTCTAAATTACAAATACTTTAGGGGAATTTTTCAACTTTGTTCTTAAATCAATTATTAGACAGATCTGTGCATATTTGCATTGAGCCTGTGAATGTTTCCATTTTAGGGGAAGGTTAAAACTTACAAATATAGATGTTTTTATCTAGTCACCGATCCAAACTTCACTTTCTCTCTAAATGCCTTTTAAATCATAGTTTTTACATACCCTTTATAGCACACTGGACATTGCTTACAATGCACAGGATGTAGAAAGGCAATCACAGCCTTGTTTCAATTCAAGGTGAGCCACACATTATTGCAGGAATTAAGTCAAGCCAACATTTACTCTAGAAATAGAAGAAATATATGAGATTCTTCTAAGATAGAAACACATAACCTATGAAGGAACTTGTTTGGTTGAAGGGAATGATGAAATAATGCCTTTGCTAAATATTAGATTGAATAGAAAAAAGTGTCTGACAAGCAGAAAAGGTCAAAAGCTATGTAGATATTATCACATAAGATGATGCTAAGCAAAATGAACCCCAAGATAGGGACACAAGAGGTTTTTTTATCACTGTTGCTGTTTTTAATGTACTCTGAGTTTTTTTTTGTTTCTTCTCTATGTCCTTCCCCCATGGTACAACACCTGTTTACACTGTATTTGATTCTGATGCCCTACATCTTGTATATACATTTTTCTTTTAAAAAATCTTGTTTAAATAATTTTATCATAACAGCTATGTACAGAGGGATTACCATTGCATAACTAATGAATATATTTATTTTCTTTTTGTTTATATCACCTGCATTTTATTTATTTATTTTATATAGTTTTTATTGTAAAAATACTGTACAGGGGGTTACAGTTACATGAGCAAGGGAATGAGTATATTTCCTATCAAGCATTAGGGAGGAGAAGGGAAATAACAAAATGCTGAAACAAGGATACAGGTTGACCCATTGTAACAATGTGATGTACAAGACACTATGTTAAAAATGAACTTTACCACTTGGTAGGGAGGGAGGAGTTGGGGAGATGGGGAAGGAAGGGATGGTAGGGAAAAACAAAGGAGGGAGTAACAATGTTCAGTAGGAAATGTACTTATTATCTTACTCATGTAACTGTAACCCCTTTGTACAGTATCTTTACAATAAAAATATATATTAAAAGTCTGAGTACCTTAGCAAAGTGAAAAACATTCATTTTGAGAATGATGATGTATATGCATTCTATGTGAGCTAATGAGCTTTAGCAAGTATTATTTCACTTCTAATAAAGATGTGAATTATTGAAATTTCAAGTTAATGAAAACACCTTTCTTTTTCTAGAAAAGGGACCCAAATTAGGTTTATTACAAAATCAGAGAGTAGTGCAATGTTGTATAATTGGGAATTGAATCATTTCTAGTGACATTTGATAAATTACAGGCCAAAGAAAACTCTCCAGGAAACAGCAATGAAGCAAAAAATAATATAACCTGAAATCCCAATCACGTTTATAAGGGAGTGTCAAATGAGTGCACTAAGAAAATATTAACATTATAATCTTAGAGGGTAAACGTCTTGATACAACTAGGTAACCTAATATTGATGATAACAGTGTCAAAAAAGTTCTCTAAGAAAATATTAACTCCATCACTTTAGAATATTAAAATCTTGTTAAAGAATGAATAGGCTGGAGCAATAAAGTAAAATCACAAATGCAATACAGAAATGAAACCATGTGCCAGGGGCTCAAGCTTTGTAATCCTAGATACTGGGGAGGCAAAGAGCTGAGAATCAGGGTTAGAAGCCAGAGAGGGCAGAAAAGTCTGTGAAACTTCTATCTCCAATTAACAACCAAAAAGCCAGACTAGAGATGTGTGGCTCAACTGATAGAGAATGAGACTTGAGAAGGAAGGCTCAAGGACAGTGCCTATGCCTGGGTGTGTGAGCCTTACGATAGCACACACACACACACACACACACACACACACACACACACACACACATCTACACATAAAGCACACATACATTAACAGACACACACATTAAAAATATATATGTAAATTACTATATTAAATAGGAACACAATTAATTTTCTATACTATTATTACAACATTCATGAAACATAATAAAGTTTTTAAAACAAATACCAGAAAAATGATAGACTACGTCCCCAGAAAAATTTTAAAACTGACCTTCAAATACATTCATGATTAGAAAAAAAATCTCATAATTCCAGTGGCGCTGTAGCTCAAGTGGTAGAGCACTCACCTTGAGCTGAAGAGCTGAGGGACAGCGCCCAGGCCCAGAGTTCAAGCCCCACGACCGACAAAAAAAAAAAATCTCATAATTCCATTGTCAGAAAAGTAAGGTCTAGTTACACACTAGTATCTGTTCAGTTAACTAAATTGCAAAGTTCAGATATAGTCTCTCTTTTTAGAAACTAACATATCTAACAGAATACAATGTAAAACTGTTCTTTAAAATGTTTTTGGCTTTTGGCAAGAATGTAAAATTAGAAGAGTCCTCTTGGAAAGTAAAACAGAAATTCTGAATCAATAACTTTCACCCAAACTTGAGCTTTTCCTTGAAAGGCACATGGTGTTAGACTAAAGTGTGTGGAGATGTGGAAGCAGGAAAGTTTTCCCACAATGCCTTGCCTCATAGGAGCAACCACTTATGGCTCTAGCAATCTAGCTTAATTTTACAAGGGAATTGTACCACACAGCACTTTACAGAAAGAATATGGAATGATTCTGACTCCCACTATAGGGTTGAACAATATTGTCCTTAGGAATAATTAGCATGTTTCCCATGGTCTTTTATGTGGAGCTTTGTTTAAAATGAAGTAGAAGAAACTCTGGGAAACCTTTTACCCTGTCTTCAAGGGTTTCATAAAGAAATACGAATTAGACAGTAAGTGGCCAATTCCTATTCACCATGAAATAATACTTCCTATCAGAAACATTTGTATTTGAAACTTTAAATGTTGTATTATTTATACAATAATACTATTTATTTGTAATGAAAAATAAAATTGGTATATATCTAGAATATATAAGTTTATATATAAATTTATAAGAATATATAAGTTTATAACTACTTTGGGATACTTCAAATGAAGTTGAAAATGAAATTCAGCCTTTTCTTCCCTACTTTTTAGCATTTATTACAATACTGTTTGCATAATAGAATATCTCTTCCATGATTTCTTCTACATTTACTGATCACAATATTATTATGAAGATTGGTAAAGTGTGGACAAGTATATGATTACTGGAATTTTTATAGTTCCTTGTCATCTCCAACAGACAGAAATTACAGTGGTGAAAAAAGAGAGAACTTGATACTTTAAGTACTTTTGGATATACTATTTAGAATAGGACAAATGATTGCCTTCATTGCATTTTTATTGACAAATGACCTAATCATCAACAA